TTCATGTGTAAATAACATAATTAATAAATCATTGAATTCTTACTTTGATTAGTTGCTGCTGTCATTAGACTACAATCACTTTTAATGAATATTTTTAGTTTGAATCTAGTACATGATATCATTAAATTAGTTATTTTTATTAGACTTATGATTTGAAAGAATAATTACAAATAAAACAAGTTCTTTGATTTTCAGTCACAAACTTTGTTTAAAATTCAAACAGTAATTGTAAAACTTGCCCTTGATGAAGTCTAATAAAATGGATAGTAAAAGTAAGACCAAATTAAAAATAACTTTAAAAAGTAATGCAAAAACTGCCGAAAATACTTTAACTTTATTTCAATCCATTTCTGATAAAATACACGACGAGAGCATAGCGTTGACACAAATTGAACACTATATCTATAAATACAATATATTTATTTCACCTAATTTTCAGTCTTATTGCTCGCGANATATCTATAAATACAATATATTTATTTCACCTAATTTTCAGTCTTATTGCTCGCGATATAAGTCTACAAAACGGTTAACTCTTATATTATTTGGACGTTTCATATCACTATTAGTGGGCATTCGTTACTTATTATTAGCTTTCTATGACAACCCGGTGCTTAAGTACTGGCTCACTGATGCCAACCATTTGGTAGGCCACCCCCAAATGTTCTCAGGGGCAGTTGCTTTCACTATTATTTTACCATTATTCATTCAATGTAGTGTCCTTTACCACGAATATTACCACACATTTCATGTCTTCGAACTCATGAATGACATCAAGAATAAGAAAACTTCAGTCACTCTTCAGAGGAAATATCGGCACAAATTTGCTATAAGTTGTACATTTATAACTAAATTGTGCCTAACTTTACCCTGGTATACCGCCATCGGTGTAACTTTAATGCTAATTGGCTCAACAATTCTGGCCTACATTCAGACTCCAGAAAGATATTCAATATATAGTCTCCTATTCTGGAATGTATTCACATTTTTCTGGATAGTAACGGTAACGTTGTTTGGAGGGGTAGCCTCTACCCTCTGGTACTTATCGATAATGCACTTAAGGTTTCAATTCAAACAAATTAACGATGAATTTGAAACATGCCTTAAACGCCCAAATAATGGACTTCTAAATTATATTCATAAACACAATTCTGTGGCTAAACTTGTCTATGACTTCAATATCGCTTTTAAGCACATACTTCTGTTTATGTATTATATGTCGCCTATAATCCTATCGATATATGTCTACGAAATACAGGACACGAAGAACTCATTAAATGTCAGATTTATCATATTTGTTAATTTTGTGGTATTTGCGGCAATACTTTGGTCATTGAATTATGTTTGCGTTTCTGTTACCAAAAATGCCCACAAAAGTCAACAATTGTTTTACACAATTCTTGCGGTTAATAGACATTCGTTAAGACAACAAATGGATATCCAAGGGTTTGTTGAACGCCTGTCCGGACCGGACATTGGTTTCTATTGCTATGACTTGTTTCCGATGAATAACTACGAGTTCTTTCAATATCTAATCAATTGTGTTATGTATTACTTTCTACTCATGTCTGTTATTAAAATTTCAAAGACTTTATAACTTTGTGTTTTAAAAATAAGATTTAAATAATAATAATATGAATACTGTGAGTGTTTGTTAATCAAATATCTTATTCGCTTTATTATAAAATGTTATATTAAATAAATAAATCTTGTAATATAATTTTAATATTGTATATAAATTTTATTTGAAAATATTAATCAATATTGTTAATGAATATAATATTCTATGAATTCATGTGTAAATAAACATAATTAATAAATCATTGAATTCTTACTTTGATTAGTTATTGCTGTCAGCAGACTACAATCATCTTTAATGAATATTTTTAGTTTGAATCTAGTACACAATATCATTAAATTATTTATTTTTATTAGACTTATGATCTGAAAGAATAATTACAAATAAAATAAGTTCTTTGATTTTCAGTCACAAACTTTGTTTAAAATTCAAACAGTAATCGTAAAACTTGCCCTTGATGAAATCTGATAAAATGGATAGTAAAAATAAGACTAAATTAAAAATGACTTTTAAAAGTAATGCAAAAACCGCCGAAAATACTTTAACTTTATTTCAATCCATTTCTGATAAAATACACGACGAAAGCATAGCGTTGACACAAATTGAACACTATATCTATAAATACAAAATATTTGTTTCACCTAATTTTCAGTCTTATTGCTCCGGATATAAGTCTACAAAACGGTTAACTCTTATATTATTTGGACAATTCATATCACTATTAGTGGGCATTCGTTACTTATTATTAGCCTTATATGACAACCCGGTGCTCAGGTACTGGCTCACTGATGCCAACCATTTGGTAGGCCACCCCCGAATGTTCTCAGGGGCAGTTGCTTTCTCTATTATAGCACCATTATTGATTCAATGTAGTGCCCTTTATCACGAATATTACCACACATTTCATGCCTTTGTGCTCATGAATGACATCAAAAATAAGAAGCCTTCAGTCACTCTTCAGGGGAAATATCGGCAAAAGTTTGCTATAAGTTGTACATTCATAACTAACTTGTGCCTAATGTTACCCTGGTATACCGCCATCGGTGTAGGTTCATTATTAATTGGCTCAACAATTCTGGCCTACATTCAGACTCCGGAAAGATATTTAATATATAGTCTCCTATTCTGGAATGTATTGACATTTTTCTGGATAATAACGGGACCGTTGTTTGGAGGGGCAGCCGCTACCCTCTGGTACTTATCGATAATGCACTTAAGGTTTCAATTCAAACAAATCAACGATGAATTTGAGACATACCTTAAAAGCCAAAATAATGGCCGACTTTTAACTTATATTCATAAACACAATTCTGTGGCTAAACTTGTCTATGACTTCAATATCGCTTTCAAGCACATGCTTCCAGTTTTGTATTATATGTCGCCTATAATCCTATTGATATATGTCTACGAAATACAAGACACAAAGAACTCATTAAATGTCAGATTTATAATATTTGTTAATTTTGTGGTATTTGCGTCAATACTTTGGTCATTGAATTATGTTTGCGTTTCTGTTACCAAAAATGCCCACAAAAGTCAACAATTGTTTTACACAATTCTTGCTGTTAATAGGCATTCGTTAAGACAACAGATGGATATCCAAGGGTTTGTTGAACGCCTGTCCGGACCGGACATTGGTTTCTATTGCTATGACTTGTTTCCGATGAATAACTACGAGTTTTTTCAATATGTAATTAATTGTGTTATGAATTACTTTCTATTTACTTCTGCTATTAAAATATCAAAAACTTTATAGTTAATTTTTATTAAATAAATAACCAGTAAGTTTATTTGAAAGTTGAGTTTATATAATTATAATTAAACTTTCTCAAATTAATCAGTAAATAGTGTTTTAAAATAAACCTATAGAGAATTACAGTATACGAAATTATACTAATGATTATTGTAATGTAATAAAATAAAATAAAATATTGTATTGTAAAATATTGTTAAAATCATCAAAAAATCATTGCATTTTAAAATAATTGTTATTGCTTTCACTAGAATTGTACTCAAATTAATAAGTATTTTTAGTACAAAAATATCATTAAATTATCTACAGTATTCTTATAGTTCATGAAATCTCAAACTATACATACATAACATGTTTTCAATCTGCATTTTACTTATTGTATTCTCCAAACTTAATGTAAACATTTGTATTATTATTTAACAACTTATATTATTTGACTCATATACAGTAGTATAAAATGAATCGTTTAATGAATACATTTAAATTTGTTGCTAAAACTATAACTGCATATCAAACTACTTCTTATAAACTACACGATGAAAGTGTAGGACTGACACGGATTGAGCACATGATCGATAAATACAATATATTCATTTCACCTAATTTCCAATCTTATTGCTCGGGGTATATCTCAACCAAACGGCTAATCATCTCATTAGTTGGACGAGTCATATCACTATTAGTGGGCATACGTTATCTACTATTAGCATTGTATGACCACCCGGTGCTCAAGTATTGGCTCACCGATGCCAACCATCTGGTGGGACATCCCAGGATGTTCTCCGGTGCCATGGCTTTCACTATATTCTTAACATTTTTTATCAAGAGTATCTCCATTTATCACGAATATATCCACACTTTCCATGGCTTTGTGCTCTTGAATGACATCAAGAATAAGAAAATTTCAGTCACTCTTCAGGGCAAATATCGGCAAACATTTGCCAAAAGCACTACATTTATCATTAAAGCATGTCTAGTATCACCCTGGTATGCAATGGCAGGCTTAAGCATAATACTCATTGGTACTACAATTCTGGCTTACATTCAGACTCCTAAAGAATATTCATTATTTTGTCTTATATTCTGGAATATAATGACATTTATATGGATAATTACGGCCACCTATTTTGCAGGGGTAGGCGCCACCATTTGGTACATATCACTAATGCACTTAAGGTTTCAATTCAAACAAATTAACGATGAATTTGAAGCGTGTCTTCGTCGCCATAATAATGGCTTACTTTTGCATTTCATTCATAAACACAATTCTGTGGCTAAACTGGTCTATGACTTCAACATAACATTCAAATACATACTTCCGATACTCTATTATCTGTCGCCTATTATACTCTCGATATATGTCTATGAATTACAAGACTCTGAAAACTCGCTGAATGTGAGACTCGTATTGTTTTTCAACTTCTTTGGTTATACTATACTACTGTGGGCTTTGAATTATGTTTGCGTTTCTGTCACCAAAAATGCCCACAAAAGTCAACAATTGTTTTACACAATTCTCGCCCGTTATGCGCATTCATTGAGATTTCAAATGGATGTCCAGGGGTTTATTGAACGCCTGTCCGGACCGGACATTGGTTTCTATTGCTATGACTTGTTTCCGATGAATAACTACGAGTTCATGCAATATGTCATCAATTGTGTCATGTATTACTTCCTACTCATGTCTGTCATTAAAATTTCAAATACTGTTATCATTGTATAAATAATTATAAATTTACAATACAAGAATAATTGTTTATTAATATCATACATATCATTATGTAAAATGCAATTTATTCAAGTTAAATAAATTTTATATTAAATGAATAAACATTAAACAGAATTCAGTAATGTTTAGGAAAAAAGTTTTAAGATTTTTATTTACTATATTTCTTATGAGTTTTCAAATGAATTTTTAATTCCGAAAGTTTTTTAGCTTTATAATCACAGTCCGAATTATAGCATGGGTAATCATCCAGACCTTTATGTTGTTTATTGATATGATTATGAAATTGAAGCTTTGCAGTTGATGTATAATCGCATTCAGGCCAATAGCACCGGTAGTCCATAATTCCTTTATGTTGCCTATTTCCATGAGTTCGTAAACTACACTTGGTAAAGTATGTTTTGTCACATCCGGGCCATTGGCACCGGTAGACAGTCTCTCCCGTATGTGTATTCATATGCATTTTCATGGCTCCCTTACAGTTGAACAGTCGCTCACATCCATACCATTCGCACGTAATTTTGAGATCACTATTATGAGACTTCATGTGATTCTTGAGTATCGCTTTAGAACCCCAACCCTTCCCACACTCAACACATTTATAGCACTTCTTATGCTTAATATTCACGTGTACTTTCATCACATAACTGTGTTTACACTTATATTTACAGCCTTTATGTGTGCATTCAATCCATGGTATGTCTGGAAAGTCATTGGGATGTACTGATAGCTGATGTTTAGTTAAAAACGATTTCGAAATAAAAGTTTTATTGCATTCATTGACTAAACACTTGATTGAGTGGTTGGTCGCATGTTTAGCAAGTTTTATGTGATCCCTCCCATCCCACCGGAAGGTGCTGTCCAAGTGCTTATGCTGTTTATGCTTATTGAGTGTATATTCCGTTACAAATCTCTTATCACAGCCAATCCAATCGCAGGCATACCGGTTCTCACGCGCCCTAACGCACTGTTCACTAGACATCTTGTGGTCACAGGTCTCCATGTGATCCATTAAATCCTCTTTGGATAGCGACTCGAACGGACAGCCATTGAGTCCGCACACGAATGGCTGTCCAAACACATGATCGCCGGCCCCCTTATGAGCCGTCAGATCACTAGTTCGGGCGAAATGTTGGCTACAGTTCCCGATATCGCAGAAATATATTTTCATAAAACGTCGCTCTCGGGGGGCACTCGGATTGACATCAGGTTTATTGCGCTCATTATAATCGCTATCATATTTGTCCTCAATTTTGTCGCCCCTTTTCGGGCGATCGGTGTCTGAATTATCACTCATTTCCACATTAATTGTAATCGCTTTGTATTCCTCATCGGTTTCGCTGTCATTATCTTTGCTTTCATTTGCTGTCTTGAGTTGTCTTTTGGTAAATGTTCTCAAAAGAGACAGTCTTTCGGCAAATTGTTTATTAATTGCAGACTTTTTCTGATCATCTCTACCGCCGATTGTCTCACATTTGTCTGAATTATCGTTCAGTCCTTTAATGTCATCATTTGATCGCTTTTGCTTAGCATTGCTTTCATTCAAAGTATTACCACTTCTTGAGACAAGTCTCGCATTATTTTGAGTCCTATTTACATACGCTTTACCACCGATTGTCTCATAACTGGTCTCACACTCAGTACCGTCTGTTGGGCTATCACTTGTAGTAAACTCTTTGATCTTCTGGCGACCACTTCTTCGGGAGTAATCTATAGGTAATAGAAATGAAGTGATAATCGCATCAAACAATGGATATAATGAGTGATTGTGTGATTGAATACCCAATGAATGGTTGACACAAACGGATGTCTTGTTGCCATTCAAAGCAATCAAATCCAGTAATTCTCGGATTAAATGCAAATCAATTTGTTTTGTATTCAATAAATGTGTTAAACATTTGTGACATTTGTTTAACAATAAGTCATTTCGCGATAAATCTGTTGACAAACAATTGATTTGACGTTTCAATGCATTCACTAATGAATACAACTCTTCACGACTTAAATGAGACAACGATTCATACGATTCACTCATTTCTGTGATAATTAATTGTCGTTTAATTGCATTTAATTCTATATGTTTTTAAATGCAATCAAAACTGTTGTCTCAAAACATGAGTTCAAAAACGCTTTAAAATTGTAAACAAAAACTTTTGATACAAATAACGTCCGGAAATATCATTGAAAAATTAACTCTACATTCTGTTCACATCACAGAATATTCTGTTAAACTAACTTAAAATTAATAATTTTGTTAAACTTTTATTTTTGTATTTATTATAATTAAATAAATATTTTCCTAAAAATAAATATTTAATAATATACTCATTGTGTGACTATTTTGCATATTTTATAAGTTTTTTTGTTTTTATTTAAGTAAGTATTTTATTTCTAGTAAGTTAAATTACTAGAGTATTTTAATAAAGTATTTAAATCCTGGTTAAACATTTGGTATAAAGTTTGCTATTTTAAGTAAATAATATTATTTTGACTAATGACCCAGTTCGTCGGCAGTACTTTTTAAGTTCATACATATATCAGGGTTATGCAAAAGTTTTGATAGGTAGAATATAATCAGTAAAAGTTCATTTATTTTTGAACCAGATAATTTAAATAAAAAATATTGCATAGGTT